GTCAACATCACCAGGGTCATCTCGTCTGATCTTATACCGCAATGCACCGCATACTGGGCATGCGTTCAGATCCTTGTATGCACCGCGGTAGAGGATGCAGTCATTAGGGCATGCATGTATCTTCTCCACCTCCAATCCTAGAGGGCATACGACCTTCTTTGCTGCGTATGTACTGTCGGGCAATTCGTTATCCTTTGGAAGCTTCTTCTTCAATACTTTCAGTAGCTTCTCAAATCCTTTGTCAGGCACAACATTCTCTGCCTTCCACTGCAGCAATTTCAGTACGGTACCGAGCTTTATGTTGCCATCTTCGCATTTGGGGTACAACCCTTTTTTGTGATCCTCTAACATGCGATCGAACTTCAGCTTCTCCTTTTGACTTTCGCATTGCGTCCTTGCATCGACAATGACCCGGCGGAGATCATCATCATCGGGCACATCGTCTGGTTCCTCTTGATTTTCAGCGGCTTCACCCATTGCAGCATCATTGGGCACATCGTCTGGTTCCTCTTGATCTTCACCAGCTCCCCCCTTTGCAGCATCACCGTATTCAGGGGGCACATAGTTGTCATCGTACTCTTCTTCTTCGCTGTCTTCCATCATAACCCCTATTTCTCCGTGCCTCGTCCAAACATTATAGTGTGGCATGAAACCCTTGTAAAGCAAGTGGGAGTGAATGATTTTCCGGTTAGAGTAAGACCTCGTATTCCCACATTCAGTGCATGGACAACACATAAAACCATTCTGCTTGTTTGCCTCAGCCGCATCGAGAAACTCATGCACGCCCTTAATGTACTCGGAGGTGTGTCTGTCACCGTACATCCATTGCCGGTTCATCTGCGTGCATTATATATAATTAAGTGTCCAAATTAATAGAAGTTCATCATCACATTAAAACCAAAGTACATACATAGTTCTCATCTAACAACATATAGCTCTCCAGAGCATCTAATTAATTAAACCATACATTGAAACTATGTAAAACATTTCAATGCGAAAACAAATGCAATCATAATCGCAACCAAGGTAACAATTGATCCAACGGCATAATGATACCAAGCCTCGTTATGAATGGCATATTTTCTAATCTTTCTAATCTTCAAGCCCATTGCATCCATCTTGATCTTGTGATCATCGACGACATCCGCAACATGCAACTCCAATATCATCTTCTCCTCCTCATTTTTTTTATTTTTTCCTTCAACAAATTGTTTTCTTCTTCAACTAAATTTAACCTCTCGACAATAAGGTCGGTTGGAATTTCCGATTCATATACATCCTACATAAATAAAATCTATGTCACGTTGGTCGGCATAATTTTCATAAACAATAAATGAACCAATAGTTATAAAGATAATATATATACCACATCCGAATCATAGACAGGACGAGGGCCGATGGGGACGGATACCAAAACCATCGCACTATATAAGATGCAATAATAAAAGTAAGAAAATAATACAAGTATCTATGTAAACATACAAGTAAGAATACTTTTTCCTTTCAGAAAGAAGATAAGAACAAGAGGCTTGCCACGGTGGTGCCGCCGATGAGCTCGGCGCGGGTGATCGACGACGGTGAAGACGGGGACGGGGCGTGACGGACCGCTAAACCTAGACAAATATTGAGAAAAATGGAGCTTGGAGGTCGAGCTTGGAGAGGAGAAAGCTTAAGTAGTGTGGCTCGGGCATTCCATCGAACACCTTGTGTGCATAGCAGGTGAGCTAGAGCACCACCAAGCCCTCTCCCCCTCGGCCAGAAAAAAACAGAGCAGTGTGCTCTGCTCTTACGCGAGGGGGTATATATAGGCACCTCATTGGTCCCGGTTGGTGGCATGAACCGGGACTAAAGGGGAGCCTTTGGTCCCGGTTCAAGCCACCAACCAGGACCAATGGTGGTGGGCCAGGAGTGAGGCCCATTGGTCCCGGTTCGTCCCACCAACCGGGACCGAAAGGTCCAGACGAACCGGGACCAATGGCCCACGTGGCCCGACCGGCCCCCTGGGCTCACGAACCGGGTCCAATGCCCCCATTGGTCCCGGTTCTGGACTGAACCGGGACTAATAGGCTGACCCGGCCTGGACCTTTGCCCCCTTTTCTACTAGTGATGTAGTATATATACTAACCAAATTAGATTCTTATGCACATTTTGTACACGCACACCTAGCCTCGCTACAGAAGAATTGAAATCAACAGCAGCAGGTATTTCGTCACTACTTGGTGCCAGTTGATTCAAACATGTTGTGTCAAGATGCAAAGTCACACACTAACCAACGAAAACATGCATAGTCAGAAACACACACATAAGAAACCCAAAATCTTTCTAAAAACCCAAAATCAATTTTAGCTAACAACTGAGACATGCAAAGTCACACGCTGACCAGCGACAGCTTATGATAAGGAATCACATGCATGTGACAAACAAATAATGTGATTATGTATTTTATTCAGCACAAATAACATGGTCCACAAATAAAAGGTCAAATTCTGAGATTCGAGTTACACATGCCATATAACAAAATAAAAGTTGCTGTCATGCTTCCTTAGCAGTAACAAAGGAGATGGTCCGCAAACAACATATTACATTCTCGAGATTCAAGAGTTACACACTATGACTGCTTAATCTTCACCTCTACTCTTATATAGATCCTACCACCAATGACAAACGGAGTTGCCTCACCAGTTAACTGCACCCAAAAGCACTAGAACAAGTTGTAATTGCCACATAATTTCCTACTAACAAATGTGGTGGTGTTTTTTATCTTGGTAATGTAATTCTCAGAGGGCTTTTATGATTTAAACTAAAACATTTTTACTAAAACTTTTACTTATTTACAATATATTATCAAACACATGGTTTTGAGTAGAATGTTTATTATTTCCTAGTTAGTATAATTGACAACACAATGAAATTCTAAATTAATCAACATACAAAATTGTTGACTTCAAAATATTTATTTCTCAATCACATGAGAAATAGTCTCTTTGTGTGCGCCTCTCTCTCTCTCTCTCTCTCCGTTGCACCCATTTAGTATTATTAATTAATATGGTAGAGAGCTCTAAAGTGTGTCATGTAGCGAAATATCTTGTTAGGAGTTTCTAGTGTTTGACTAGGTATAAGTAATTAGACGGATCTGTATGTACAAAATGTTTATGAGGAGATTGTCAATTATTATTGACTTTAAAAATTAAATATATAATATCAAGGTGTACCAAGTACATTTGCAATATGTAACACCTCGGGCTCAAGACATAGTATCATATTTTTTTTTAGAAACGTGGCATCCAAGTATCAAGTCGAAGCGATCAATGACACATAGCAACAAAATGAACAACCAACTACTGTCCTAGGCAGCACACTACCTACAATAAAGGGTATCTCAAAACATGTTCATTGCTTTTTACCGGGCGTGTCACGCCACCATGAGGTGTTCTTATTCCCCTAAACATTGACACACCTTTACGCACCAAAAAAGGTGGTCCCACCATGTGCTGTCAAAACAGAGAAGACATGTATGGAAATCTTCTTGAAGCAGTTACGCTCATGTCGTTTTTTCGATGGAGAAGAGCAACTATCTGAAGAAGAAGAAGAAGAAGAAGAAGAAGAAGAAGAAGAAGAAGAAGGCGAGGTTTTGTTTTTACTAGTGTTCTCATCACAGACTAATAGAGTGAAGGGGACAAGAGTTCCTACGCAAACATTGTGCTCCCAAGCACCCATGTGACATATTGCACACTATGGTCACGAGGAGGCATAATTAAATGGAATATATAGAAAATTGGCTAAG